CCTAAGACCTTCGGTTGATGATATAAATCCTGCATCACCCATAGTAAGGACTATACCCCCATTCCCATAGCTTAGGAGCCTTAGGGTAATGCTAAGGATTTATATCATCAACAACCCTAAACCCTAAACCCTGAACTCTAAACTCTAAACCCCTAAACCCCTAAACCCTAAACCCCTAAGCCCTAAACCCCAGGAGTTTTTCGGGCCCTTAATCTTAAATAACAATATTAAGGCCCCTATAGTTTAAGGTATATTCCTTAATTTAGGGTTTAGGGGTTTAGGGTTTAGGGTTTAGAGTGTAGGGTTTAGGGAAGGGGTATTGGGCTCTCTGGGTACCCAGGAATTTGAGGGGGCCGAGGATCTGCTGCAGCTGTATCTTCAAAAGTCTCGCGAAGCTTCCCGCAGCACGCTTGTGATGAGAGAGGAAGAAGCGCCAGGGCTTCCTTCAAATGGGGTTTAGGGTTTAGTGTTTTTAGGGTTTAGGATGTAGGGTTTAGGGTTTAGGGTGTAGGGCTTGGGGTTTAGGGTGTAGGGTTTAGGTTTAGGGTTTAGGGTGTAGGGTTTTTAGGGGTTTTCGGGTTTAGGGTGTTTTGCCATGGCTTCCTTCGTTGGCGAAGGATATAGAGGCCCAGCCCATACAGCATCGTTGCGACGATCGCGGCCACCATCATCAGGATGAAGACCAAAGAAATCCTGGGCTCTTGTTAAGGAACTTCCTTTTAAAAATGGGTTCTTGGTTAAGGGAGGTTATTTAAGTTACCATAATAGGGTTTAGGGTTTAGGGGTTTAGAGGGTTTAGGGTTTTACAAATTGCCATAGCGGTGATCTTTAGTACCGCATATGGTTACCTTCAAGTTACCATAGTAGGGATCTTCAGTAGTAAATCATATGCTTTCCGGTAGCATCGCGATTTACCTGAACCTTTCCTGAGCAATGCCCCCAAACCCTAAACCCTACATCCTACACCCGAAACCCTAAAGCGAATGTTCTAAACCCTAAACCCTAAACGGCCCTAAAAGCTAAACCCCATCTTAGGGGACTTATAACCCCATTTAGAACTACCCGAAACCCTAAACCCTAAACCCCTAAACCCCACCCTATAGAACCTTTAAAGGAACCCTATAACCCTAAACCCTAAACCCTAAACACTAATGCAAGAACCCAGCATCATTGTTGCCATTATGAGGCCCGTGGTGCCCACCTCGTGGCCCGCGAACATGGAGGCCATATATAAGACCACCTTGGGGGTGTAGGGTTTAGGGCTTTAGGGTTTAGGGTTTAGGGTTTTAAGGTTTTAGGGTTTAGGGTTTAGGGTTTAAGGTTTAGGGTTTAGGGTTTAGGGTTTAGGGTTTGGCACGACGGCGTTGGTGTTTACAGTGCACAACAAAACCCATCAACCGGAGTCCCTGCTAAGCACTTCGTCCCGCATTGCAACACCCCGGTCCGTAAACCCTAACCCTCTGCAATCAATCACTTCGGCACGGCCGAACCCAGAGAGCCCAATACCCCTTAATTAAGGAATATACCAATGATAATAATATTAGGGCCCCTATAGATTTAAGGTATATTCCTTTATTTAAGGGCTATTGGCTCTGGGAAGTAATCAAGACTGCAGCACCTAAAGCAGTCCCTTTCCAGAACCCCTTCCCACATGGACTCCCCGCCGCCTCCTCCGCCCGCATCATGTGCAGGGTTCACTTTAAACTTCTCTTAAACCGTAAACCCTAAACCCTTAAACCCTAAACCCTAAACCCTTAAACTTCCCTTAAACCCTAAACCCCAAACCTTTAAACTTCCCTTAAACCCTAAACCCTAAACCCTTAAACTTCCCTTGAACCCTAAACCCTAAACCCTTAAACTTCCCTTGAACCCTAAACCCTACACTGACAAGCCGACGTTCAGTGCTCGCAACGGAACTCCGAATCCTCAGACCCTAAGACCCTATGGGGTTTAGGGTTTAGGGCCCATAGCACCCTCATACGGTTGATGATAGAAACCCTGCATTACCCATAATAAGGAATATGCCATAATTCCCACAGTTTAGGGCCCTTAGCCTTAAGGTCATGCAGGATTTATATCATCAACCGTCTTAGCGTATAAAGCAACCCTGAGAGGATTCGGTAAAGCGCCGGCAAGGGTTATAGGGGTGCTCCGGGGTTCAATAATATAGGGAACCTGAATAAATAGAATGAATAGAGTTTGGGTCATCATGTCATAGTATAGTTTTTATGAAGAGATCTATACGGAATAACTCCCTGGTTCTTAGTAAGGAAAGGGGGAATGGACCCCTATGATAGTCCCTTACGGTAGGCTCAAAAACGCATCCCTCCATTCCCGACTAAGAACCAGTCAGATAACTACCCAACCCCTAAACCCTATAGAACCTTTAAAGGAACCCTTATAGTAGCCTTATAGACTTATAGATCTCCTATCGGAACCCCTAAACCCTAAACCGAAAACCCTAAACCCTAAATTCCCTATAGATCCTTTCAACGCAGCTCAGACACGAGCAGGCCAACGTGCAGGAGCACGTCCAGAGCATTGCTTGCCGGCACGCGCCAGGGTTGGCTCAGCCTCGGGGTCACAGGTTGTGGCTTAGCGTTTGGGGGTTAAGGTTTAGGGTTTAGGGTTTAAGGTTTAGGGTTTAGGGTTTAGGGTTTAGGGTGGGGTTAAGGAATATAATTTTCCGAAACTGAAAACTATGTTCAAAAGCGGCCGAGTAGCGTCGTGGCGATTAAGCTCGAGTAAAGGAGCACATTCAGCACCACCAGCTTTATGGACAGGGAGGGAAGTAAAGGGCACAGCACAAAAAGAGCATTTCCTGGGATTGCGAGACAAAGCCTCATCGAGTTGTTTCCCCAGATCCTTTAAATCTGTGTTCCTAGTTCCTGAGGATTCACCTCACATTCTTTGGAGACCCAAAAGAGTACCTGAACAAGGACCATAAGGACGGGAAAGCTCATAGCCGCCGTTTAAGCAGGCCACTACAGTAAGGACATCCACCAGCAAGTTTATGTGTGGGTGCTTTCAGTGGTTCCTGATACTGCACAAGAAGCAGTACCGAGGCCCTATACCCCAAGCCCTAAACCCTAAACCCATAAGCCTTACATGCCTAAACTTTCCCTGAACTACCCTTAACCCTAAACCCAAACCCGAGTTGCTCTAAGCGGCGGCAGAGAAAGAAAATGGAGAAGCGCTCGGCACCAGGTCGATAGCGCAGCCACAAGAAGGAGCAAGCTCGAAAATACCTGTCCATACTAGGATTTAGGGTGTAGGGCTTAGCGTTCCCATAAGGGTTCTATATACAAGGGTTCTGTGTTGGTTCTAAGCGTTCAACAAAAACTTTTGGGCTAAGGAATTTACTTTAAGTTACCATACTGGGGATCTAGAGTAAATAATTTGGTTTCCTTATTCTGGTAATTTCAATTAAATTAAACTCCTCAACAAGAACCCGGGCACACAGCATCGGCACGCCGCAACCAGCGAGGGAGCTTCAGAAAGATGATCCAGAAGCAGATGCTAAGGAAGCAGAGCGGCATCAAGCATGCTGCAGCACCGATCCTGAGTGCAGCTTGGGCTGTCATGATAACTGTTGATGATAGAAAGCCTGCATTACTTTAAGGACCCTAAACTATGGAAAATATGGTATATTCCTTCTTATGGGTAATGCAGGATTGATATCATCAACCGTAAGAAAGCCATAGCAGATTTTTTATATCTCCCTGATCTATTTTTTCCGAGATTACATCATGGCACGTAGAACCTGTCTGTTTAGACCCTCTAGTCAGAAACCTAAAGGAAACTCAGCGCATTAAGGTCCAGAGGTCGTAACGAAGCCGCAAACAAAGTGAACGCTTTAAATGGTTGGAAGGAGGTCTTTCAGGGGGGTTAGGTCCGAAACCCTAAACCCTGAACCCTAAACCCAGCTAGGTCTATCCCTGGCGAGGTTAGGTATAACTTCGGTTTGGGGGGGGCGGGGCCTTCCCGGTCAGACTCTTCCCCCCCAGTGTGTTGGCCCTCCACCCTCTCTTTCTTATATTTCTTTCAACCCTAATTCATTCGCGGTATTTTGGGCAAAATTTGGTTTTTTGCCCCAAAATTCCTCGGAAAAGCCATGGGTTTTGGGCCCAAATCACGGCTTTTTCGCGGATTTTTGGAGAAAATTTGGTAAACTACCCAAGAATCCGCGAAAAAGCCATGATTTGGGCCCAAAACCATGGCTTTTTCGCTGATTTTCGGGCAAACTGGTAAACTGCCCAAAAATCCGCGAAAAAGTCGTAGTTTGGGGACCAAGACCATGGCTTTTTCGCGGATTTTTGGGTAAAACTGGCAACTGCCCAAAAATCCGCGAAAAAGCCATGGTTTCAAGCCCAAAAAACCATAGCTTTGTCGCGGATTTTGTGCAAAACTGCGTTTGGGGCTCTAAGGTTTGGAGCTCTAGGGTTTAGGGCTCTGGGGTTTAGGGCTCTAGGGTTTAGGGCCATAGGGTTTGGGGCTCTAGGGTTTAGGGCTCTAGGGTTGAGGGCTCTAGCATTTAGGGCCTTAGGGTTTAGGGCTCTAGGGTTTAGGGCTTTAGCGTTTTAGGCCTCACGGTTTAAGGCTCTAGGGTTTAGGGCTTCAGGGTTCAGGGCTCTAGGGTTCAGCGCTCCAGGGTCTAGTGGGGCCAGAACGGTCGAGTCATTGTGCGTTTTAGGGTGATGTCCTTTAACGAAAGCGTCGATAGTCTCTGACATATGGTGTGGTCGAGTGCTACATGCTACTCGTCTAAGTGTGATATGAAACAGCGCAAACGACAACATGATGTCATGTAAAGGTGAAGAGAATCCAACCATAAAGACGACTCCTTGGTGTAAAAGAACGAACTATTTTGCCAATGTTATGGGCAGAGCAAGGCAGGTCATGGCAGGGTAACTAGAATCTCGTTGAAGTGTTGAAATTGAATGAAGCGTAACTGTGAACGAAACTCATTGGTGTGAATAAAGGAACTGTTT